TCTGGGCCCACCCAATTATCCCACCAAACGAAGTTCGAGGGGGATATAGAAAAGCCGTTCGTCTGTCCGTTCGTCCGTCCGTTCGTGTGTCCGGGCAATAACTCAAATACCGGGCGATGGATTTCATTCAAATTATATAGGCTTATGACTTATGGGTGTAGGACCTCTGCTCGAGAAGGAATTTTCAATATGGCCGCTATATTCAAAATGGCGGTCATTTTTCGGAAAAAATATAATCTTTAATAATTCAAATACTAGTAAATGGATTTGGTTCAAATTTTATATGCTGTTGCCTGGGTACAAAAGAGCCTTGCTCAAGAAGACATTTTCAAGATGGCCACCATATTTCAAAATGGCGGCTATTTTTCGTAAAAAAACGTTATCTTTGATAACTTTAATACCATTGAATGGATTTGGTTCAAATTTTACATGCTGATATCTAGAGACATAGGAGCGCTGCTCGAGAAAGGATTTTCAAAATGGCAGCTAAATTTCAAAATGCGGCCGCCATTTTTCCTAAAAGAATGTAACCTTTGATAACTCAAATACCAGTTGATGGATTTGGTTCAAATTATATATGCTGATGCTTAGAGACAAACAAGTTCTGCTCAGGAAGACATTTTCAAGATGGCCACTGAATTTCAAAATGGCCACCATTTTTCGTAAAAAAAACATAATCATTGATAACTCAAATACCAGTGGATGGATTTGGTTCCAATTTTATATGCTGATGTTTAGGGAAAAAAGAGATCTGCTTCAGAAGAAATTTCAAAGGTATCAGCTGAATTTCAAAATGGCTGCCATTTTTCATAAAAGAACTCTGATGCCTAGCGATAAGCTTAGCCTAGCCTATTTATAAAAACATGTTTTGTTCGGTGCGATTTGCTACTCCTTGGAGTTGCTGTTTTTCTAGTTTTATTAACAAAGAGATTTGGCAGCCATTTTTAAGGCAGCCATTATGGAATTCTTGTCTGAAAATTTGTTCAATATTTGTCTCCTGGCAAATATCTGTTTCCAGGCAAAGTTACACAGATTTATATCAGGTTTTCTTTTTTATGATTATATGGTTCTATAACTAGACAACCATTTATATAAAATATGAATAAATGAACAGTTTATGCCCTTAATGCTTCTACCCATATAAAGTTCACATTAAATCTGCTACTCATTTTCCATAACTTTGAGATTTCAGCATCTGTTAATTGCCATTTCCAATCAACATCCAGAGTAACTTACATTGTTACACCATTTTCAAATATTGTTTAAAGCAGAAACTGGCTTCTACATAACAACATTTGGAGCTTCTATGCAAAGTACTCAGAAATGATTGAGCCAACATGATTTCATCTGGTTGATTAAACAAGTTGAATGTGTTAATGATACATGTATTTATTAGGATTAAAGTGTGAATGCTTTTAACATGCTGATAATAAATTAATTATGTCACCACCAAGAAGTGGTGACATATTGTTATGGTCTCCTTTTTTGTGGCAGTGGTTGGTGGTTGGCGGGCGGTGTATCTGTAACAATTTCTTAAAACTTCCAATAACTTAACAGATACTGTTTAGACTGACTTCAATTTTTTCCAAATCATCTGCAAGTTTTCAGAAGTTCAAATCTGACTAAACATTTAAGATTTGATTTTCAATGACCTTTTCAAGGTTAAAAAAGGTCAAAAAGGTCTTCTTTCAACTTGCTTCAAATTGACCTAATTTTTTCAAAATCATCTACAAGTTCTCAGAAGTTCAAATCTGACTTAAGATTTCACCTTCAATGACCTTCTCAGCGTAAAAATCTTGCTTAAAATTGACATTGAGTATTCTCAAAAATTCAAATCTGACTTAAGATTGATACTGTGAGCAACTAGATGGTGACATTTTGTCATGTTAATGCCTTTTTTTGGCAACCTTAGCTCCCCCATTGAATACGTGTTAAAGCCTCTTCACGTTTGAATTTTTATTTACTTAACCTGCAATGTAATAACGTATAATATTAATGGAGACATAACTTGACTTGATTTCCAATACCTCCAAATTTTCCCAATTTTTTCCTAAATTACATTAGGTACTGACGATAAATTTGATAAATTTTTGAAAATCATCATTCCCATGTAAACCAATGAGAAATTGTGGGTTCGGGGCAAACCAGAAATCAGGATATCTATTCGGTAAACGATTCAGCAAGAAATATTTTTATATAGAAAATTGAATTGTCAAACTTTTTTGTTCACTAAGTGTTTAGTTTACTGGATGAATACTAAAGTTACAGCTCTTCAAAGTCATTTTTGAAAATAATTTTTCGCCTCCTGTGTTATTTCAATTGGAGAGGTTTTTGAAAAACAATTTTGACTTTAAAGCCGTATAACTTTGTTGAACCTTAGGAAACATATCCATTTTCAAAAAAAGGTTATAAGCCCTATAACTTTGTTGAACCTGAGGAAACATATACATTTTTTGTTAAATAAAGTCTCAAGGTCAAAAAAGGTTAAAGAAGTTAAAGTCTTCTCTTAACTTGCTTCAAATTGAACAAATTCTTTTTTAAAAATCATCTACAAGTTCTCAAATGTTCTAATCTGATTATAGATTTGAGATTTGACCTCCAATGACCTTCTCAAGGTCAAAAAAGATTTGACCTTCAATGACCTTTCCAAGGTCAAAAAAGGTCAAGAAGGACTTTTTATCGCACTTTGAAAAAGTGCTATATTGTCGTCGTCTTGTGCTGTTGGGCGGGCGGGCAGGCGTGCGGGCGGGCGGGCTGGCGGGACATAAACCAAATCTTGTCATCAAATTTCCAGGATAACCGCTTACCTGTTCAACTTGAAATTTTTACAGATGCAAGAGCAGACTAGTACCAAGATCTGATTAGGTTAAGCGCATGCTGGGTAAACTACGTGGCGGCCATTTTGAATTTTTCAACAAATCTTGTCATCAAAATTCCAGGAAAACCACTTATCCGTTCAACTTGAAATTTTTACAAATGCAAGAGCAGACTATTGCCAAGATCTGATTAGGTTTTGGGTATGCTGGCTGAATTACATGGTGGCCATTTTGAATTTTTCAATTTGGCGGCCATTTTGAATTTTTCAACTTGCTCCAAATTGACCAATTTTTTTTTTAAAAATTATCTACAAGTTCTCAGAAGTTCAAATCTGACCTTAGATTTCAGATTTGACCTTTCGTTGACCTTCAGTGACCTTGAAAAGGTCAAAAAAGTTGATTTTCTAAATTGATATTTTGGATTTAAATTTAGGTCAGCTTAATTACAAAACACCTACTGAGGTCTGAAAAAGTTAAATTTTCAAGGTCGAAGGTCAAGGTCATTAAACTAGGTCACAAATGATGTTATCCAAGTTTCTCAAAGTTTGAGACTACAAATCAATTCTTGTCATCAAAATTCCAAGAAAACCGCTAACCTGTTTAACTTGAAATTTTTACACATGCAATAGCAGACTAGTGCCAAGATCTGATTAGGTTTAGGGCATACTGGGTAAACTATGTGGCGGCCATTTTGAATTTTTCAACAAATCTAGTCATCAAAATTCCAGGAAAACCACTTATCTGTTCAACTTGAAATTTTTACAGATGCAAGAGCAGACTATTGCCAAGATCTGATTAGGTTTTGGGTATGCTGGCTGAATTACATGGTGGCCATTTTGAATTTTTCAATTGGTGGCCATTTTGAATTTTTCAACTTGCTCCAAATTGACCAAATCTTTTTTTTAAAAACATTTACAAGTTCTCAGAAATTCAAATCTGACCTTAGATTTCAGATTTGACCTTTCGTTGACCTTCAGTGGCCTTGAAAAGGTCAAAAATTTGATTTTCTAAATTGATATTTTGGATTTAAATTTAGGTCAGCTTAATTACAAAACACCTACTGAGGTCTGAAAAAGTGAAATTTTCAAGGTTGAAGGTCATCAAATTAGGTCACAAACAATGTTATCTAAATTTTCCCAAAGTTCAAGAATACAAATAAATTCTTGTCATCAAAATTGCAGGAAAACTGCTTTACCTTGTCAACTTGAAATGTTTACAGATGTGAGAAGGTCTGATTAGGTTTTGGCCATGCTGGGTAAATTGCATGGTGGCCAGTTTGCTCTTCAAAGTGCGATATTTATCACTGTGTGTCTTGTTTTCAACTTGCTTCAAACTGACCAATTTTGTTTTAAAACCATCTACAAATTTTCAGAAATTCAAATCTGACTTAAGATTGAATTGATAATATTGTGAGCAACTAGGTGATGACATTTTGTCATGTTGATGCCATGTATTCTTTCTCCAAAATTTTAAAGATAGTTGATGTTTACCATCTTAATGTTCTCATATTCATGTTCAAATGTTTAAGAAAAATTGATTTTCCAGTTGATCTTTTTTGTAATTATTATAAATGCAATATGGACATTCATCATCATTTCACTCGACGAGTGAATGATCTCCATATCTCCAAATTTAACACTAACTATGGAAAGAAAAGTATTTTAATTCAAGGTGGCCTTATATGGAATGAAACACCCCCTGATATCAAAACCTCAAAAAGCATCCCTATTCTCAAAAAGTCATTTAAAGATAATTACTGCAATCTATACTTGGAGGAGTAGTTCTTTGAACTACTGTACAATCTCATCAGATGTTATCATGTTATCCTATTTGATAATGTAATATTGAAATTTATTCTATTACTCTACACATTTTTATTGCTTGCACCATTAATCATTTCCATTAAATCCGTTTATTTTCTCAATTATGTACAATATCATACTTTACACAATTACATGTACACTTCTTATAATATTTCACAAATCATTGTAAATACCATTATGTGGCACCTATTACTCCCTCTTGGGGGTCATAGCCACTACAACCTGTAAATATGTTACATTGATTTTAATAAAAAAAACTTCACCTTTAAATATTTTGATACATGTGTGCGATATAAAAGAATTTTAGAGTATTTATGTGTTTCAGCTCTGTCTTGTTATATTTTCAGGCTGACATCAGGCGCCACCTATCTGATGTGAGTGCAAAGATAGAGTGCGCTGTATATGAAGCTGTCAGACATGCACTCCTGTTGGCAGAGGGTGATATGGACCCTCTACTTCAGTCAACAATGCAACTTTTGGACAGCTTCAAGACCTTACAGAGGAAAGGTGAGTGTAACACATATTGCCATTTTGGCTCACGTTGTAAGCTTATGGAATCACATACTTGTTTTTATCGCACTTTGAAAAAGTGCTATATTGTTGTCGTCTTGTGCTGTTGGGCGGGCGGGCGTGCGGTCGGGCGGGACATAAACCAAATCTTGTCATCAAATTTCCAGGATAACTGCTTACCTGTTCAACTTGAAATTTTTACAGATGCAAGAGCAGACTAGTACCAAGATCTGATTAGGTTAAGGGCATGCTGGGTAAACTACGTGGTGGCCATTTTGAATTTTTCAACAAATCTTGTCATCAAAATTCCAGGAAAACCACTTATCCGTTCAACTTGAAATTTTTACAGATGCAAGAGCAAACTATTGCCAAGATTTGATTAGGTTTTGGGTATGCTGGCTGAATTACATGGTGGCCATTTTGAATTTTTCAATTTGGCGGCCATTTTGAATTTTTCAACTTGCTCCAAATTGACCAAATTTTTTTTTAAAAAACATCTACAAGTTCTCAGAAGTTCAAATCTGACCTTAGATTTCAGATTTGACCTTTCATTCACCTTCAGTGACCTTGAAAAGGTAAAAAAAATTGATTTTCTAAATTGATATTTTGGATTTAAATTTAGGTCAGCTTAATTACAAAACACCTACTGAGGTCTGAAAAAGTGGAATTTTCAAGGTCAAGGTCATTAAACTAGGTCACAAATGATATTATCCAAGTTTCTCAAAGTTTGAGACTACAAATCAATTCTTGTCATCAAAATTCCAAGAAAACAGCTAACCTGTTCAACTTGAAATTTTTACACATGCAATAGCAGACTAGTGCCAAGATCTGATTAGGTTTAGGGCATGCTGGGTAAACTACGTGGCGGCCATTTTGAATTTTTCAACAAATCTTGTCATCAAATATTCCAGGAAAACCACTTATCCGTTCAACTTGAAATATTTACAGATGCAAGAGCAGACTATTGCCAAGATCTGATTAGGTTTTGGGTATGCTGGCTGAATTACATGGTGGCCATTTTGAATTTTTCAATTTGGTGGCCATTTTGAATTTTTCAACTTGCTCCAAATTGACCATATTTTTTTTTTAAAAACATCTACCAATTCTCAGAAGTTCAAATCTGACCTTAGATTTCAGATTTGACCTTTCATTCACCTTCAGTGACCTTGAAAAGGTCAAAAAAGTTGATTTTCTAAATTGATATTTTGGATTTAAATTTAGGTCAGCTTAATTACAAAACACCTACTGAGGTCTGAAAAAGTGAAATTTTCAAGGTCAAGGTCATTAAACTAGGTCACAAATGATGTTATCCAAGTTTCTCAAAGTTTGAGACTACAAATCAATTCTTGTCATCAAAATTCCAAGAAAACAGCTAACCTGTTCAACTTGAAATTTTTACACATGCAATAGCAGACTAGTGCCAAGATCTGATTAGGTTAAGGGCATGCTGGGTAAACTACGTGGCGGCCATTTTGAATTTTTCAACAAATCTTGTCATCAAAATTCCAGGAAAACCACTTATCTGTTCAACTTGAAATTTTTACAGATGCAAGAGCAGACTATTGCCAAGATCTGATTAGGTTTTGGGTATGCTGGCTGAATTACATGGTGGCCATTTTGAATTTTTCAATTTGGCGGCCATTTTGAATTTTTCAACTTGCTCCAAATTGACCAAATTTTTTTTTTTTTTTAAAAACATCTACAAGTTCTCAGAAGTTCAAATCTGACCTTAGATTTCAGATTTGACCTTTCATTCATGAAAAGGTCAAAAAAGTTGATTTTCTAAATTGATATTTTGGATTTAAATTTAGGTCAGCTTAATTACAAAACACCTACTGAGGTCTGAAAAAGTGAAATTTTCAAGGTCGAAGGTCATCAAATTAGGTCACAAACGATGTTATCTAAATTTTCCCAAAGTTCAAGACTACAAATAAATTCTTGTCATTCTTGTCTTGAAAAGGTCAAAAAAGTTGATTTTCTAAATTGATATTTTGGATTTAAATTTAGGTCAGCTTAATTACAAAACACCTACTGGGGTCTGAAAAAGTGAAATTTTCAAGGTCGAAGGTCATCAAATTAGGTCACAAACGATGTTATCTAAATTTTCCCAAAGTTCAAGACTACAAATAAATTCTTGTCATCAAAATTGCAGGAAAACCGCTAACCTTGTCAATTTGAAATGTTTACAGATGCAAGAGCAGACTAGTGCCAAGGTCTGATTAGGTTTTGGCCATGCTGGGTAAATTGCATGGTTGCCAGTTTGCTCTTCAAAGTGCGATATTTATCACTGTGTGTCTTGTTCTGTCCTCTCTGTGTCTGTCTGCCTGTCTGTCTGTCCATCTGACAAACAATATTTGGACAAATAAATCTTACCATTTGTCTGAACCAAAAATCTTGAATTTTTGGATGACAAAGTCAAAATTTCAAAAAGTCAATTTTTCTAAATTGTTTGAGGACACTTACCTAAAGTTCCAGTTCTTGAAGACTGAGACTTGTAGAAATTAACTGATGGATGACCTCACTATGTGACACTCCCGGGGTGACCATCACCTCCAACTCTAATAGCTTAAGGAAGGATTGATACTATAGCAGTAAATGTTGTACAAAGTTGCCCAGGAATTAATGTGAAGAAATATGTCCTCAATCTTACAATGCGATGTCAAGTTGAATCAATAGCCTTATGTCTTGAATATTGTTAATTTCTCTCAATACATTAAAACAACACAAGTCAGCAATTCAGTGTTGATTTTTTAATACAATTTACAAATATAAATATAAATAAAACAACCAAATGGTGTGTATGTTTGTTTATGTTCAATAATGAGAAAAGTTAGATGAATAGATTATGAGAATCAATAACTGAACCTTTCATAAAAGCCATTTCTGTTAATTCTGATAGAAAAAAACGATATATATAAAAACTAGCAAACTTGACACATAATAAAATGATATAGTTGTGATGGTCACAAATTAAATGGCATGACTGTTACATATTAAATGTTGTGATGGTCACATATTAAATGGCATGACTGTTACATATTAAATGTTGTGATGGTCACATATTAAATGGCATGACTGTTACATATTAAATGTTTTGATGGTCACCAAGGAGGATTGGCTCCCAGAGTGCACCACCGATATTCTGTCCCATATATGGGTATGTCGTAATACAAAATTCGAATTCAAACAGCCGCCATTTTGTTCACTTCAACATTTAAATCGTGAATTTTGGTCTTATTTCCAAACGAAAAATTCCAAAACTCACAAGAAATGATCGAGATATTGGTTCGAATCTTTTAAACTGTTTATTTTGAATTTATAGTCGGTTTTAATTTCAGAAAATAACGACATTTCGACGTTTTCATTGTTGGAAAATATCGAGTTTCGATCCTGGGAGCCAATCCTCCTTGGATGGTCACATATCTAAGGTCATGATGGTTGCAGAGTGAAACATGATTCTTGGCTTGTTGTTACTCACAATCATAGCACAGCTGTGTACATGTTTCTCATAAAGAATATATTATTTATGATCCTTCCTTTTATAATAACATTAATAATATTGATTCTTACTCAAGTTATTAAGCCAATAATAGGGATTTTCAGAAGATGGTAAAAGATAAAGGCTGTGTTTTTGAACGACCCGCGGGCGAATGCATTGCTTAATATTATATAATTTAGTATGCCCCCCCCCCGAGGTATCATGAAAAAGAACAATGAGTCCATGCGTTGCAAATTACATGCTCACACATTTTCAACAATAGCAGTTCATCCAAGCGCGATTGCACCACTAATTATGATGTGTCAAACTTGTCGGGTAACAGTGTATGTCAACCACGCTGGCTTGTTGAAAGAATTATGTGAGTGTTAGTACGCTCAGATGAGTTTTTTGTTGTAAACATGCGACCATGTAATTTGCAGTATGGGGCTTTTCTTCTTTTTCTTGATACCCAGGTGGAAATCTCATTATCTATTATGCAATGCACCACCACTGTGGGTGATTCAAAAATGCAGTAAAAATGTAGATCTTGTAATATTTTGGGTGTGCTAGATGTAGTGTATATTAAGGGACCTATTTTAAAGTGCTCATGCAAAGTTTGAAAATATATTTTTATCATTCATTCATTCACTATTTGTAATGTTATTTTAGAGATTTATTGAAAATAATTCTTATTTGAAAAAAGAAATTCTGCTTTTAATTTCTCAAAAAATCAAATTTCAAATTTCTCGCTATTTTTCAAATAAGAAATTTTAGTCATGAAGTATTCCACTATACAGTGCAAGACACATTATCTTTTTTATTTATTTAAATTAAGTGACATCAAATCATCAAACTGTATGAAGGAATGAAATCACATTTACAGGGATACTAGAACTGATTTGTTGTTGCATCTGGATCACTCATTGGTGAGGACACGTTGCATTCTCAAGAGGTGCCTCACTTGATATGGTGAGGCTAAATGTGATGCCTCTATATATTATTGCTAGAAAGGACATTCTATTAATCTTGCAGACACCACCTCATTGAGTCACACAGAAATTAAGAAATGTCACTGTACAAGCTTGCTGCCCTGGAATAAAATCTTATTCTCTGTTCATTATTCTGTAAGATGTGTTGAATTAGCAAGACATTATGATGATTGGAATACAATTTCAATCTCCTCTTAGTGTAGCAATCATTGGAAAGTATCACCTATATCTAGCCAGCATAAAGGAAGTGGTCAAATTAGGAGCTATTTTGGAGTTATTCTGATGGGTGAATGTGTCAATATAATATTCTCTAGGCAATAAATAGACTCATATAGACTATAATAGACCATTTGATCAGTTATTGCCATGTATATTATCTTGAACTAGTCACCAATAATTGGCTAGAAGTCTGTACTTGAGAATTAACGAATCTTGTAGACATTTCTGTTAAGTTGAGAGTAGTGTCATTAAGTGTCACGTATTATGTTGCATTCTTCGTTGTTTCAGGAGCAATACCCCAGCAAAAAAGACATCATGCTTATATACACCTAATATGTTTTCTTCAGGAATACTAATATGTAACCAAATACACCCTTGAGATGTAAGGATGGCATCTAGTATGATTGCACATCATTAGATATTCTGGTTACCAAACCTTTTCATCAATATATATATTTTTGAAATACTTTATTAACCTGATTAATGTTTTGTGCTGGGAAATGGAAAGATATTTTACTTGTTCAGAGTAGCAGGGGCAGATCAGGATTTCGAGTTGGGGGGGGGGCGTTTGATAATAACTGTGAGCGAAACAAAGCAAGAATAGGGGGTACCCCCCAGAAAATTTTGAAAATTGAACATCATTTGGTACATTCTGACCAATTTTAGAACGTAGGCCCAACCTGGGTCTGATTTCAACGTATGCACTGCATTAATGACAATCTATAACCATCTACATGTATTTTGATTTCCACTTAAGATTCTGATTTTTTATGGAGGTGTGCGCCCTCCCACGCCCTTATCTAGATTCGCTAGTGAGTAGCAACAATGTAATGCCAGATGTTTTTATTCTCAGTTTGATTTTACCAAGAGTGCTTTCTCAG